TATTACATCTGGCGCCCAACGGATATTTCAACTATTGTCAACAGCAAGTGAATTTACAACCAGTGAATAGTGACACACACCAGTTTTATTTTGTTTCATAATTTGGAACAAAAAGGATTTATTTAAAATTGTGGTTTATTTCTGTGTGCAACAGGATTGTTTACTAATATGTGGAATATATTAATTTGGGATTTACTTTGTGTACAATTATATTTATTTGTACACATCTACATGTGTCCATCATTTTAACTTTACATGTGTACATGGATTTTACCGTAATCAATATATTAAGGTGAAATCATCGAAGGCACGAGGATATACTCTGGAGTAGAACCATCATCATACTAGGCTGGTAGACGAGGAAGCTTCCGATCAAACCGTTCGATTATATCAACATCTGAGGACAGATTTTCCAAGGAGGAGGAGTGAGGAGAATTAGGACTTGTTAACATTACCATATTATTTGTAGAAGTGATTGACATCCAAGACATTTAGGACTTTACATTCGTAATCCATGTGGATATTGTTGTTTTAACTGAATTGTGCTAGTGGCCAAAGGTTTTGTTGTAACAGAATATACATTTCAACAGAGTGTGAGTACAAATTTTTGTTATATGTTCATAAATTGCAGTTAAAACTATCTAAATTTATTTCATAAATTGATGTAAGACTGAATTGATATAATTTCTTTTCATTTACTGTTGTAAAGTACAGATAGACTATATATTATAGTATTGTCACTTGTATTTATTCATAACTGCAGTTTCTGACATATACGGAGAACAATTGTCACAAACATTCTTTGTGAATTTGAATATTTCTACAAAAAAGGTGAATACCTTTATATAGTGTCACAAACATTCTTTGTGAAATTACCCAAAGATGTCGGACGGAGAGGAAGGAAAAACTTATGAAGCTGCAAAAGGTCCTAGACTTATAACAGAGGAGGAGGAGACTTTATTGTCAGCTTTAAAGACACTTGGAGTCGAAAACTCAGATGATTTGATTCATATAATCAAAAGCAAAGCCTCATCATTCGGAATTATGGAACCACCAATAAAGACAGAGAAGGAAACTTATAGTTTGAAGTTACCAACACCCCCTACATTTGGAGCTACTGCTAGCATTTCAACTTCTGAAACTACTGCTAGTATTTCTACTCCTGGAATTACTACTAGTGCTGATACATCTTCATCAACAAAATATTCAGTGTCATTCCCTTTTCCAAAACTTCCTAGTTTTCAAGGTGAAGACAACAAAGGTGATGTGAGTTGGGCTACGTTTAAGTTTGAGGTTGAAGCATTAATTGTGGAGAAGGCTTACAGGGATGAGCAGATATTATTGGGAATACGAAGAGCATTAAAGGGGAATGCAAGTGATGTTGTTCGGCGATTAGGGACAGGTGTTACCGTGAAACAAGTGTTAGACAAACTAGAGAGTACTTTTGGCAACATCGAAACTAAAGAAAGCATTTTGTGTAAATTCTATTCATGTAAACAGAAACCAACTGAATCTATCGCAGCATATACTTCAAGATTGGAAGAACTCTTTTCGCAAGCTGTGGAACTAAAAGGACTTCATCATTCAGACACTGAACAATTAAAAAGAGTTTTATATGAAGGTTTAAAGGCAGAAATTAAACATCACGCTGCATTTAAGAATGAAATGGTCACTGATTATGATAAGTTCAAGATAGAATTAAGAAAGATCGAGGCAGAACTGAAAGATAGTGAGAAGGAAGTTAGAAAGTGCAATGCTGCTGTAAACCTGGAAAAGAAAGAAAACACTGAGATGTCTGAAGTAAAAGACTTGTTAAAGAAGCTAAACGAAAGGATTAATAATTTAGAAAAGAAGCAAGATGAGGCAAACAGACCATCCAACCAAGGGTATTACCAACCACCTTGGCCAAGACAAAGTTATAATGGATTTGGAGGTAGAGGTTATGGAGACACCACTAGAGGTTATGGTGATAGAGGCAGAGGTCGAGGAACTTATAGACCAAGAAGACCAATTGGACAAACTACAATGGCACCAGAATGCTTTAACTGTCATCAAAAAGGACACATCGCAAGATTTTGCCCAAAAAACGTGTAAGTGCTCCTGTTGTGGGATTGAACAAGGGCACACAGAAAGATCCCATGCTTATTGGTAACACCAACGAAACAGAAATTCTATTAAACAACATACCAAGCAAAGCATTATTAGATACCGGCAGTTGTGTAAGCATCATTTCCAGAACATTTTATGAAGAAAACTTTAGAACTTTAGGACTTAAACCTTTGACAGATATTAACATTGAGTGTGCGGATGGCAACAAACTACCTTATGATGGCTACATTGATCTTGAAATAAGCATTACAGATGGACTACCACATTCTAAAACATACTTAGGTCTTTTTCTAGTGAGTCCAGATACCAAATTCTCTACAACAACTCCAGTGATTCTTGGAACTAACATACTGATGGAACTTTTAAGTGATTACAAAGAACAATACGGAGAACAATTTTTACAAAAAGCTCAGAGAAATGGAATAAGTACACCTTGGTTTTTGACATTTAGATGTTTTGTTATTAGAGAAAAGGAATTAAAGAAGAACAAAGATAGGATTGCAATTGTAAGAAGTGCTGTGCCAGACAAAATCATCTTAAGACCAAATGAATCGATAAATGTAAAAGGATATTCGGATAGAGAATTGAGATACCATGACACATTAGCCATTGTTCATGAATGTGAAGAATCTACACTTCCTGCCTTCATTGATATTGCTCCATCAGTTATAAATTACAAGTACAGAGAAAATTCAGACATTACTGTGAACTTATCAAACTTAACAACAAATACAATCACCATTCAGCCAAAATCTATACTCTGTGAACTTCAGCCAGTAACAATAGACCATGACAGCATGAATAAACTTTCAGAGGAGTTAAACAAAACAGATGTCTTAGATCAAGTACATGTAGACAATAGTGGAACATTGAGTGATAAACAAAAAGAAACATTAATGGAACTACTTCAAAAACATAGGTCAATCTTCTCTACTTCTGACACAGATATAGGACAATGTGATAAAATTAAACATAGAATTGATTTACTTCCGGGATATGAAACACCATTCAAACAAAGGCATCGCAGGATTCCACCAATGATGATCGAAGAAGTTAGACAACATTTAGATCAACTTTTGACATCTGGAATAATAAGGAAATCAAAATCACCATGGGCAAGCAATGTTGTTTTAGTAAGAAAGAAAAATGGTAAACTACGCATGTGTGTGGATTATAGGATGCTGAATGACAGAAGTGTTAAAGACGCTTATGCTCTTCCAAGGATTGAAGAAGTTTTTGATATATTGAAAGGCAGCAAATATTTCTCAACTATTGACATGAAAGCTGGTTATCACCAAGTTGAAATTGAAGACAGTCATAAAGAAAGGACGGCATTCACAGTAGGCTCCTTCGGTTTCTTCGAGTATGTGAAAATGCCTTTTGGTCTTAGTAACTCCCCAGCAACATACCAAAGACTTATGGAGGAGTGCCTTGGAGATTACAATATGACTATTTGTGTTATTTATCTGGATGACCTCATTGTTTTTGCCGAAACTTTTGAAGAACACATAAGAAGACTTGATTTGATTCTCACACGCCTTCATGAATGTAAACTGAAATTGTCACCAGAGAAATGTTTCTTCATCCAACCAAGAGTACACTTTTTAGGACATGTGGTATCAGAGGATGGCATTGAGACAGATCCAGCTAAAATTGAGAAAATTAAAAACTGGCCTACTCCTTCAAATTCTGATGAATTAAGATCATTTTTGGCTTTCGCTGGATACTACCGAAGATTCATAAAAGACTTTAGTAAAATTACAAGACCTCTAGCAGACTTACTTCCTCCAACATCAACAAAGAAAAGGCAAAAGAAGATAACAAAAGAATGGAATTGGACAGATAATGAACAAAAGATTTTTGATGATTTAAAGGAAATACTTTCAAAGCCTCCCATATTAGTTTATCCAGACTTCACAAAACCTTTCGAATTACACACGGATGCCTCGACAAAAGGACTTGGAGCAGTCTTATACCAGGTAGATGACAACAACAAACATGCAGTGGCATATGCTAGTAGATCCCTCAGCAAATCTGAAAAGAATTACAGTGCATACAAGTTAGAATTTTTAGCACTTAAATGGGCGGTAACAGAGAAATTTTCTGACTATCTACAAATGAACCATTTCACGGTATTAACAGACAACAACCCTTTGACCTATGTTCTTACATCAGCTAAACTTGACGCCACAGGTCAAAGGTGGGCTTCAGCATTGGGACAATACAGTTTTGATATCTACTATCGTGCTGGAATTAACAATGCAGATGCAGACAGTCTTAGCAGATATCCATTTGACAAAGAGAAAACACCTGATAACATGGGAAAGATTAACAACAACGAGGTCAAGGTCATTTGTCGAACAACTGTTATACCACCATACATTGAGACAATCCCTTGTGAAAACTTAAATATTCTTGAAGCCACAGAAGACTTGACACAACCTATAGCACAAGTAGAATTAAGAGAACTAAGAAAAAGTCAAAGAGAAGATATCCTCATAGATAGATGGAGACGTGCCTACTTAGATCAAAGAATTCCAAAAACCTTATCCAAAGAAGACATAATCATGAAAAGATATTTTAAGAATTTTACAATGAAAAGAGGTGTACTATACAGGAAAACTATTGATGGAGATACAGAAAGAGAACAACTTATTATACCAGAAAAGTACAGAAAGGAAATACTAAAAGGTCTTCATACAGATGTTGGTCATCCTGGCAGAGATAGAACTCTTAGGCTACTTCGCGAAAGATATTTTTGGCCAGGCATGTTCACCGATACAGAAGAATATATCAGCAAATGTGAGAGATGCATATGGAGAAAAAGTAAAACCAATGACAGAGCACCATTAGTGAATGTAACTACAACTTATCCACTTGAATAAGTGTGCATGGACTTTTTAACTCTGGAAGAATCAAAAGGAGGAATATCAAACATCTTAGTTATAACAGATCACTTCACCAAGTATGCCTTAGCAATTCCAACTCGTAACCAGACAGCAAAAACAACAGCTGAAACTTTATTCAACAATTTCATTGTTCATTATGGTATTCCGACCAGATTACACTCAGACCAAGGAGCAAATTTTGAGTCAGATATTATTCAAGAACTCTGTCATCTACTAAACACAAAGAAAAGTCGCACCACGATATACCATCCTATGGGAAATTCCACGCCTGAGCGATTTAATAGATCACTACTCAACATGCTAGGAACACTCAATGCATCTCAGAAGCAAGACTGGAAGAAATATGTACCATCACTAGTATATGCATACAATAGTACACCACATGAGTCTACAAACGTTTCACCATTTGAACTCATGTTTGGTAGAAAACCTAAGCTTCCGATAGACTCTATGTTTGAACAAGTGACAGAAGAAGAAGAAACAACAAAAAGTGTAAACGAATACATAGAAGATTTAAAGACAAGAATGGCATCAACAAGAGAAATAGTAAAAGAATTCAATGACAAAGCTAGAGCTAAACAAAAAGAACAGTACGACATCAAAGCTAAAGCAGCAAGAATCAACATTGGCGATACAGTCTTGGTTAAAATTTTAAGATATGAAGGGAAGCATAAAATAGCTGACAAATTTGAAGAAGAAGTCTACGAAGTCATTGACCAACCAATACCAGATGTCCCTGTATTCAAGTTAAGATCGGTAAAGTCCAAGAAGGAAAAAACTCTGCACAGAAATCATCTACATCCTGTTAATTATAGGAAAATAACAGATGATGCTGACACAGAGGAATACACACAAGAGAAAGAAGATCATAGAGAGCAATACATACAAGAGAAAGGAGACAAAAATAGAGTTATAAGAGAAAAGAAAGAGAGAAAAGAGAAAGCCGACGTCGGAAATGATTCGGAGAATGAAGCAGAGGAAGAGGAATTTGTATTACATACAAATGATAGTGGGGACGCCCATTTTCCTACTGTGAAACATGTCTCTGGAGCAAGTGGAGAAAGTGAAGCAAGTGAAACAAGTGTAATCAGTGGAACAAGTGGAAACAGTGAAGGAAGTAATAGTATTGAATCAAGCGGAAATAGTGTTCATAGTGAGAACAGTGAACAAATTGAAATAATAAATCAAGATGAAATTCATGAACATGTTCAACCGGAGTCAGATATAAATGATGACGAAACAGTTATTATTGATGACGACATAGAAATGAATGAGGAAGATATTGCTCATGAGCTTGGACAGGAAGAAGACATCAATATGATAGATTCAGTGAATACAAATATGGATACAGGAACAAACATTGAGGAGACAGATAAAGCAGAAGGGACAGAGAAAACAATAGAGGAGATGCATATAACAACGGAAGAGACAGATATTACAACAGAAGAGACACATGTAACAAACACAGAAGAGACACATGTAACAAACACAGGAGAGACACATATAGTAGACACAGGAGAGACACATGTAGTAGACACAGGAGAGACACATATAGTAGACACTGGAGAGACACATATAGTAGACACAGGAGAGACGCATGTAGTAGACACAGGAGAGACACATATAGTAGACACTGGAGAGACACATATAGTAGACACAGGAGAGACACATGTAATAGACACAGGAGAGACACATATAACAACAGACGAGACAGATTTAGTCACAGTACAGACAAATCAAAATAAAGGTGCAGAATGTACACCAGAGGTACCTGCAGCACCTAAACCAGCACCAAGAAGGTCTACTAGAGATAAGAAGCCTCCATCAAAATATGAAGACTACTATATGAATGCTGTGGTACCAAGACCATATGATTCTAAAATACAAGCTGTGGATGTTTTGATGAAATCTGGTATTTTAAATCAAGTGGACACAGCCGTTGCTCATAAACTACTAGAAGCCATCATGAAATGATTTGAATTGAATTGTTGTATTACTTCATTGTATTGAAATGTTATAACATTTAATTCTGATTTTATGTATTTTAAAATGAAAACCATTGTTTTAATGTATATTAATGTCTTCATTATAAAAAAGAGGGGAGGAGAGATATATAATAGTTAAACATGGAACATGATTAACTATAATATAAATAAATATACAAACAAATAAACATTAAAAGTATTGAATGTTACTTAATATCTGATTATGTCAGATATTAAATGCTACATAATGTTATACAAACAAGTAAACATTAAAGTAATGAGTGTCACTTGATATCTGATTATTTCAGATATTAAATGCTTATGACAATAATGTTATAATGTATATATAACTATACATTTGTAAAATAGAAAGGTAATTGTAATGTAACAATTATTGTGTAACACACTGACAGATTTTTTCGAGATAAAAACTTTCTTTGTATGTTTATTATTGTTTGTAAATTTAAAAGAAAGACCAGACTGAAGACTGAAGACATTTATGACCAATGACGGGACGTCATTTTTTCAGACCAGGGAAGTATGTAACAGGGTCTTATTTTTAGGATCAGGTCCAAGGGACAATACTCTTGCTTTACTGTTGGATTTTATAATTTAGCAAAGGGAGACAAATCCGTCGGTCTTGTCTGATACTTTTCAAGGGAGACTACTCTATTGGTTTTAACTGATTTTATCTTATGTTTACATTGGTCAGTATTCTAAGAATTCAAATGATTGGTTCACGGATCGTTGGTTTTAAGTTATTTTTATGTCATGTGACTTATTGGTGGGAAAAAGTCATTGTGTCTTTGTTATGTTGTAAAAGAGAGGTCAGAAGAATTAGTGTTTGTGGTCAAGTTCTTTATTTCCTAAGTTGGTATGTATTTATCCTGACTGCTGCTAAATGCTTTATTGTAAATATGTAGAATTGCATTATTGTGATTCTGTTGTATTTTGGATCAGTCCATTGATTGTGAAATTTGTAAATAAGTATGAGTTTCAGAATGACATGTATCTATCAAATCACCTTTCATCTTTTATTCACTATTAATATTTAACCTTGCAGTTAACAGTCACTGGTGTGAAAGTAAGAGAAGGTATTAGTTATAGATTGATGTACTACACTCATCCCTCAGATGGTAAGTTACATGTGTGATGTATTGTGAATTGTTTAAAAGATAAAATATGTTAATTGTGTGTATAATTCCATAAGCTATGATATGATATTTAAGGACTGTTGCTGAGTGTAACGAACTAAATTGGCCACTAGACATGTAATTGATTATGTAAGATATGATAATAATTAATGCATTGTTTCTACTTTATTTTACTTTATATTTACATATTGTTATATACTTATTTCAGAGTGTTGTTGGTTTGTACCTTAACTTGATGTAACCACCATACAGTAATTGAAGAATGGATTGGAATATATAAATGATATAACTGTAAAGCTGTTTGTTGAAATGATTTAATAATCCCGAACTTACTTGACCCTCAGGGGCTCGGATAGTTATATTTTAAATTGCGCCGAACCACCCCTATTACACCATGACAACGGGGGACGTCTCAAAATTGCCAAAAATCACTATTTTTGCATTGTTTTTTCCATCAAAACGGATTTCATAGTGCTGCAACTTCTCAATGAATTGAGATAGAGTAAAAGGCTTTTCAGCGTCGGTTACTAGTTATCCTTACTAGTTACCCTAAGATCGACATGAGGCCATTTTCTGCCTGTCACATGTCCAAAATTTTCTTGGCGATGAGGGGGACTACCGCCCCCTTCAAACCCCCCAAACAGAAGGGGGCACATACCCCTTCTGGCAACCCCCTGATGTAACATTTGGATGGGGGGCGGCGCCGAAAAAGTGGTCACTTTTTAACAACATTTTTTAAACGAAAAACAGTGTATGGGGCCTAAAGGACAAAAAGCCGTATGAGGGAAAAGGTTAAACACAAAAATATAAGTTCTAAATTGTAATTCTTAGAAACATTTTGAGTTATTTATATTTTGTATCTAAATTTTCTTTAATAAACACTTCCGTAATGCAAGTTGAAAACACCTTCCGCTATTTAAATGTACACACATACACACGCACTCCTCACACACAACATTGATCTGGTACTGTGGGGATAGACAGAATGTAAAAGCTAGCTTGGCATAATTATTTTCCGCAATAAACCCGTACTGACTGGTGTGTGAGTTCAGGTTAGCCTCACATTATAGTAATGGTTGAGTATTAAGTTTGGAAAATCTCTGAAATTTGATGATACTTACAATGAAATATTGAACTGTAACCCGCCCTACCAACATGAAATAATAGGGACTTTAGCTGTTACATTTTTAGTTCCCCTGTAAAGGCCTTGCTCTTTTACATGATAGTCAGATGTTAAAATACCTCTTTGGACAAATCGTCGCTGGACAAACCCCCAGTGGACAAACCCCCACTGTTGCGGCGCAAAAACAATACCACAACATTGACCCGGTTCCTCGCCCTATCCGGGTGTGGAGACCGGGATAACAGTTTCTAGAAGTGCGACAGCACATATAACACGCAATATAGCATATGTTTAGATAATTTTCTGTCTTTCTTTCTTTCTTTCTTTCTTTCTTTCTTTCTTTTTGTTTTCTTTCTTTCATTCTTATTTTCTTTCTTAGTTGCGTGTAAACCTTTTAATGTTTTTCTTAAATTCTTAAAACCATTTATTTCATACCAAGTTAGTTAGTACTGAATTCAGTATTAAGACTCTTGACAGGTTATATGGCCTTACGTAAAATGGTTGTTTGCAATATAACCATCGCAAAGCGTTTTGGTTTATATATATACAAGCTAGAACATGTTAATAAAAACATACGTCATGTTATTTTAAATCAAAGGGAAGCAAATCCTTATAACCGTCGCTTTTTATAATTGTTACAGTTATTCCTCTTGTATGAGTTATTTTGTGCAGAATACAATGTATGATATATATACTACAATTGTAAAATGTATATTCAAAAATATATTAGTAACGACCTTATGCTTTTTTTTCAGTGTGCCCACCGTTGTAAATAAAATATTATGTATTAGTCAGATAAAAGGTTTGTTAGTTTGAAATTGTTAGTAAATTTCTATTATCTATGAAAGCTTCGGTAAATTGTAACTTTTTCCAAAGACAATTCCAGCCTGATGAATTCAAATTAATGCCAGTGTCGTGAATACCAAAGGCAAACTTGTCGTCTGCTATTAGATCCACTTTATCATAGTCTTTCACATGATTGAATGTTGCAACGTTAAATGTCACAATGTCGCCAAAAATCGCACGTGCTGTTAAATGTCGCAGCATTGGCGGTCTACGAGGATCTATATAAAATACGCGAACACATACATATTTTATTTACAAATTGACATATCATTAGGCCCCTAATGACCCAGAAATGCTCTATTTTCTAAAAAGGTTTTTGTTTCTGGTGAACTTTTATACTTTTTACGTTCCAAAATGTTACTTAATTGCCAATTATCTAACCTTACTTTGTCTTCTGTGGCATTTTGGAAATTAGTCTAATAAAGAATTTAGTACTTTGTATGGAAGTCAAAGTACTATTCCTACTTTTATGACAAATAATTTCATATTTACAGCTACATTCTCCAAGAATCTTACGTGCTCTAAAACCATTATTTAATTAGTTCCGTGTATCAAGCTGACTGAGCATTCGGTAAGTTCCGTGTATAAAGCTGATTAAGCCATCTCAATGAAATAAAATTAACATGTTTACCAAAATTTAAACTAAGAACGACATTAACAATCCGATCAAGAGTTACTTTTTCTTTTGCTGGTAATGCGAATAACAACAAACAAATTACAATTCATAGACAATCTTATTTGCCAGTTACTTTTTTGTCTTTTTATATCATCTTGCAACAACATAACATGGTGCGTGTTGCGGCATTTTGACGACAGGGGTAAAATCGTGCAACAATTGAACGGGTTGTGTTGAAAGGGGAAAACCGTGCGACATTCAACGGTTGTGTTGAAAGGGGAAAACCGTGTCACATTTAACAGTTGTGTTCACAGGGGAAAATCGTGCCACATTCAATGGTTGTGTTCACAGGGGGAAATCGTGCCACATTCAGCGGTTGTGTTGACAGGGGAAAACCGTGCCACATTCAACGGTTGTGGTCACAGGGGTAAAATCGTGCCAACATTCAACGGTTGTGTGGCAGGGCGAAAATAGTGCCACATTCAACGGTGTGTTGACAGGGGAAATCATCATGTCAAGCATTCAATGACGGTTGTGTTCACAGGGGAAAATCGTGCCACATTCAACTGGTTGTGTTCACAGGGGAAACGTGTCACATTCAACGGTTGTTTTCACAGGGGGAAAATCGTGCCCACATTTAACGTTGTGGTTACAGGGGAAAATCGTTGCCACATTTCAATGGTTGTGTTTCAACAGGGGAAAAAACCGTGCCACATGTAAAGGTTGTGTTCACAGGGGAAAATCGTGCCACATTCAACGGTTGTGTTGACAGGGGAAAATCGAGCCGCATTCAACGGTTGTGTTGACAGGGTTAAAATCGTGCCACATTCAGCGGTTGTGTTGACAGGGGTACAATCGTGCCGCATTCAACGGTTGTTTTGACAGGGTTAAATCGTGCCGCATTCAACGGTTGTTTTGACAGGGTAAATCGTGCCACATTCAGCGGTTGTGTTGACAGGGGAAAATTGTGCCACATTCAACGGTTGTGTTGTCAGGGGAAAACCGTGCCGCATTCAACGGTTGTGTTACAGGGGGAAATCGTGCACATTCAGTCGTGTTTCACAGGGAAAATCGTGCCACATTCAACGGTTGTGTTGACAGGGGAAAATTGTGCGACATTCAACGGTTGTGTTGAAAGGGGAAAACCGTGCCACATTTAACGGTTGTGTTCACAGGGGTAAATCGTGCCGCATTCAACGGTTGTGTTGACAGGGTTAAATCGTGCCACATTCAGCGGTTGTGTTGACAGGGGAAAATCGTGCCACATTCAACGGTTGTGTTGTCAGGGGAAAACCGTACCTCATTCAACGGTTGTGTTGACAGGGGAAAGTCGTGCCAACATTTCAACGTCGTGTTCACATGGGGCAAATGGTGGCGAATATTCAACGGTTGTGTTGACTTTTTAACTGCCCAAGTTTGTTATTTAGCGAAAATTAAGAACATATTATGGTGTCAAATAATGAATAAACACTGTTTTTTCAATAGCTTACGATTTCTAACTACGTGTTTTGTAAGATATATCAATGTGTTTGTCCTTTTTTAATTGTATATGATGACTGTATTTTTAAATATCTATAAATGAAATATTCAGAAATATTGATAAAAATAATATTGTTTTTTTATTATTTCCGTATTTCAACTGCAGTAAAAACATATTTTCCCGTATTTTCACTGGTGTTTTTTGCCGGAACTTTTTTTCTGAAAAATTACCCAAAATTACAAACTTTAAGGGAATATCTTTCAAACTGTGATTCAAAAATGCAAAAAATGTATAATTAACAGAAAATTCTTTTTTTTTTTCTTTACATACAAATTTATTTTCATTTGGATATAAAAATTACATTTTTCCATTTACCACCACCATGAACTATTTTTTTCATCCCACTCGAGGGAAAATAAACCCCGTTTTTAAAAAAAAACTTGAATTTTTTCTATATGATAATTTATATAAAAACTGTATATAAAAATTTTAAACATGTATATGTATGTTATTTTTCAAATTTATATCATTATTTTTAATTCCCTTTAATGACTTTTTTTGCAGAAAAAAGTCGGGAAAAAGAAAAATTGATGTTAATTATTTTTTTCAAAAACTTTAAATGGTAAATAAACTTATTAGCCAGATTAATTATACCAATTTTCCCAAATTTTATATCACGAATTATTCCCGGGTTTAATTTTATGGTTTTTTTTCTATGCCACAAAATTTTAAAAATTAGGTGGGAACACTTTCTGATAATCAGTATATTTTTAATTTATCTTTTTATCAAACCCCCTATAAAAGTTGAAAATGTCAGGGTTAGGGTGGATGTAGTTTCTTTGCAAAAAGGTAAATCAACCGACCCTGCACCTTTTTCTTTTTTCCCCGTTTTGGGGACTTTCTTTAGGGTTTATTTTTTTTATTTTTTCAAAATTAATAGCAGTGTTAAAAAATTTTTTTTGGAAAAACTTGCTTTTTACTTTTATTTAAGGGGAAAAAATGTAAAAGCAAAAACAACACTTTTTGGGGGGCTCCCCCTAAAGGGGCCTTTTGGTTTTTTCCCGGGTATTTTAAAAAAAGGCATTTTCCCGGTTTTCAAAAATCCGGCACGGTTTTCCCTTTTTTTTTCTGTCCCCAAAAAATAAAATAAGGGGCATTTTTGGGGGGGGTTAATGGACCTTTCGATTCGTTTGTTCAAATAAATTTAAAAAGGGGTTTAAATAAATAAAAGACATTGTAATGGTTTTCGTTGGGTTTTAAATTATATTTATTATGGGAAAATAATACCCTGAACGAAAAATTTACAATAATTGTACAAAACC